GTTTAAGAGTTTTTAAGAGTTTAAGAGTTTTAAGAGTTTAAGAGTTTAAGAGTTTTTAAGAGTTTTAGTCAAATGCTTTATAATATAGTATAGATTGAATAATAGATAGACTATAATTCAAATAAGGTTTTATAATTATCCCTAAATATATTTATTTAAATATAAATATCAATATTTACATATAAAATCATGTGATTATCATAATTATATTTTTAACATGTATTTATAATTATTCTACAAGAATAATCATTTTAATAATCAACATAATCCACAAGGGTGGTGCCTGATTGGATTGAGCTTGACTCCAAAGGTCAAAAGTACCAGGAGGTCCTAGGTTCAAATCCAATGAGGAATAAAAATCCCCTTGTGGCCACGTAGGTTCAAATGCGGTGACTCCGGGCTATCTGCAAAGCAGGTGGTCGTCCTGGAATTAGTCGACTCGCATAGCGGGTTGGATATCCAGGTTAATCGAAAAGAAAAGAAAAATTAATTCGGGTTCCTAATAATAGAAGCGTACATATTCTTTATGTGCGACCCTTATAGGTTTACATACTCGTAGGCATTATTATTGTGTGATACGTGTCGTGGACATATAATAACTTACACATACAATAACACCATTTAACCATAAAAGTGGAAACTACAGAAAATCATCATAAAATCATGATAAATTAGTTCGTTAGTTACTATCGTTTGCAAGCAAGGGAAGGTCATTGGTTCTACCTTTTTCAGTACTTTACTCCTCCATCTTTTTCACAAAAGCTATAGAAATAGAGAATTAAAAGGTGGAAAACCGAGAATTTGTTTAAGGGGGATTCGAACCGACACCCTTTCAAACAACAAACTTTAATCCGACAATTTAGACCATCTCAATCATCACAAACTTCTGTCATAAGTTAAATTTAAAAATTACAGGGGGCGCACAACGAAATGTTACGAATTTACGATAACACTCTTTAAAAACATAGTTTTTTTCCTACTATGATGGAACCATGAAGTAATAACACGAGCCACTGTATGAGGTTCGTCCCTGCAAACAATGCTCCATCTTTCGTTCCCTCCACCAAGCTTCTTTCTTTACTAGTTACTTGAATCTTTTTAACTAATACCTCCCATAGCAACTCCATGTCATTTGGCATGACAGATGTAATCAATTTTTGTTAGTGAACTTGGATTTCTACGTGAACTTACGTACACCGATTATAGGTGAACCTTCAGAATTTTATCGTTCTTATTATATGGAAGGTAATTTAAATGAAATAAAATAGTTAGCCTCTATGAAAAAAAAATAAAGTATGAATAATATGTCTTTGATTGTAGAGTAAATAATCGCAGGGGGTTGTGGTGTATTGGTTGAGTTTCAAGGAGACGTGATGGGATATTCCATCTGTCATGGGGCTCAAATTCCAAGCGTAACAACAATTGTGCCCATTGAGTTTATCAAAGTTGATATGTTATTATCGCAATTTGCGGGATCAGTTTGGGCACGATTCCGGACACCCTTAAAGAAGATGTGAATTAAAGACAAACTCAAATCAAATTTGTTTGCTGTGCAATTAAATACATGTTTGATAACCATAAGAGCATCTCCAAATCTAATGCAAAGTTTTTATAAGAAAAAAGTGAAGTGACTTGCAGAAATTACCATTATGGAAAGTTATTATAGGTTTAGGGGTCGTTTACCAAATATTTATCCGGTAAACGTTTACCGATAAAATTTAACACTATCATTTATTTATCGGGTAAGATTTTAGTCCACCAAAACGGTATCGTATGCAACAATTTACCCGGTAAGCGCTTACCGTGGTAAGAGTCGTCGCCCTCACTTACCGGGTAAGACTCTTGGTCATTGTTTTGTTCTTACTGGATAAGATTCTTGGTACTTTACCATATTCATCCGGTAAGGTAATGTGGATTGGTGTTTACTTACTCGAGTTAGCGTTCGGTAAACGGCTCCTTAGTCTCCTTGAGTTTTTATACAAGAACTTTGGTTTTTACCATAAAGTTTGTGTGAAATTGACAATTTCCTAATTCTTTTTATATATTTTTATTGATTTTATACTTGTAAGAATCATAATTATAGACTTTTATGTATGTTTTTAGAGTAAATTAGGTTTTTTGTCCCTGTGGGTTGTTACAAATTTCGGATTTCGTCTTTGTGATTTCAAAATTGTCGTTTTATTCCCTATGGTTTGTAATTCATTTCTATTTTTGTCCTTAAGGTTAAACACTATTTTTAAGGATGAAAGACTAAAATAGAAATGAATTGTAAATCACAGGAACTGAGAAAAGCAATAAAGCTTATGAGGACGAAAACGAAAATGAATTATAAATTATGAGGATAAATATCATAATTTCAAAATTACAAGGACATAAATAGAAGTTTTGAACATACCATAAGGACTAAAAATTTAATTTTCTCATAGTTTTTAATTTGAGGAGTTGAAATTAGGTTACACACTGAAAGAAATGAAAAAGAAGGTTGAAGCTCCGTTAGAAATGCCCGTAAAACTTTTACCGTCCAAAGTTTAAACCAGTGATGAACACCCATTTCGCCACGTGTCCTTCTTCCTCCTCTTCTTTATATACGTTTTCTAATTGACTGCTTTAATGGATTTTCTTTCCCAAAACACACACACAATTCCGCTGACTGCATCAACACCTTCATCATTATGCCGACACGTGTGCTCAATTCTTGGTCTCCCTCTTTACCTTTTCTCCTCCAACAAAATCTGCTCTTCTTCACTTTTGTCAGATTTATAATATTTGAGATGAATTCAGTCTCAAGCAATCTCTGGTTCCTGATTCCTTGAAGACGTTTTTAAATTTCTGAACATATTTCAAGTTTCAAAAACCTGACAAATTTTGACTCCTGATTTCATGATTCCACCTTCTTCTTATCAAAATTTTCAGAGTTGAAGATTTCCTTGAGACCCCACATATTTTGTTTCTGTTTGATTTGGGATTTGAGGTGGGCCAATGTAACTGCCATTGGATAAAGATCAGTTTCTTGGGGACTCTATTCCAAATCGATTCTCATATGGCCGTCTCTCTCATCAATATTATATGATGATGATGATGATAATGATGATGATGATCCATATAATATATTAAACACTGGGTATCTCTTTAATGCTTTAATCATTTTGGGAAAGTTCATGCGGTTGCATTTAATTTACTCATCTATTTATCTTCTTTTAAGTATAGGGTTCTGCAGATTGAAGTTTCCTCCTCTGATTTGGGACACATTTCGACAGAATCTTGTAAGTTTGCTTCTTCAAATCTTTATGTTATTGCTTTCTTCTAATCATCTCCTCAATGGGTTTCCATAGAAATTACTTTGGATTGTGATTGGATCAAGATGATAGTGGTAAGATCTAGTGTAATGTGTTTAAATAAGGGTACCTGCGTCAAGACTTCTTGGAATTGAGTTATTTGATTTTTTATTTGGTTTGTTGTAATCAAGATCTTACAGTTCTTGATCTATGACTTGTGCCATGATATGGTGATGTATCACATAGGCATTCAACACCTGTTTATTGATGTAGTCTTTATGTTATTCAGGACTGCTTGTAATGGGAGACTTGTTTATCCATGGAGGAATTTTACACACCCAATCAATAGTGAGTAAAAATATGTGCATATCTTCAAATAACTTCACAATCATTCTTCATTTTGGAATGCAAACCACCTGACTTTATGGTTTACATTTGTCCTTTTTGTTCATTGGTATTCATTTATGGTTGTTAAAGCCCAGTATATCCCACCTGACTTTAGGGTCTGGTGCTTCAGATGTACTCAGACCTGTTTTGTCATGTCATGTTCAGTGTCTCTGATATTAGTGTCTTTATCAGGGTTACAATGATGGTACAGGAATTGTTAGTCTTTTCATGCCGCAATGTAGTTCCCTTGCGTTGTTGGACGACATTTTCTCCCGTCTTTTGGCATTGACTTCTTACATAAGCAATCGGTTCATCCAATTCTTTGGTGAGTACTTTAGACGCATTGTTTTTTGTTTTCTGGTCTTATTATGCCCCTTGAATAACCAACTTTGATGTTATCACAGAGGATCTTATCTACAGAGATCTTAGTAGATTCTCGGAAGATTTCGAGTCTGTTCCTTCCGATGGGAAATCTGTTTCAACTAGCTGTTCATCTTCTTGTTCTTCAACATCGGAGAATCTTGATACTATTCTTGTGGATCATTTGCCTGTGTATTCGAGATGTGAAATCATAGAAAGGAAGTTCTTTTACGGGGGTATCCACTTCATTCTAAAAGGGTATTTTTGCTATTCCCCATTGTGCTGGTGTGAGCCCCCAATTGGGCAAAAAATAGATTTTAGAGAACATCATATTATGTCGAAGTATTCTGATGGACTGTTTAACAGGACTTGAGTTTATAGGACCAAACAATTGTACATCCAATATAAATTACCAATCTCTATTTGTAGTAAAGATTGGTAATGGACTGTTTCATACGTCTTAGTGATTTCTTGGAGTTCTTCTGTAAACTTGCAGGTTGCAACTCACTAAATTTTTCGTAAAATCTGCTTTGGTTCTAGCTTTGGCTCCCTACCGGATCTCTTCTCAATGCGTTAAACGTGCACAGATTCGTGTGGAGAGGTAAATAATGTGGTTTCTCATTCCCACATGATCATAAAGATGCTTCAATCCTTAAATTTCCGTTTACTTCTGGAAATTGTCAGCATTATATCTCGAGTACAGATTACTTTGCATGGTTCTTCCACTGACATCGGATGGATCCAACGGGATCCTAACATGGATCCAGTACAAGACGGTTCTGCAAGATTTTTAGAACTGTTAAATGCAATAAGGTACCAACATTTGCGTATATTCCCGATTTTGCAGAGTGATAAACGACTGATTTTTTAACCATTTTTCAATTTTGTTCTCAAGGAATGGAGAACACAAGCTACCTGACTCGTACGTGTATTTACTGATTCCCGGTAAGTAATCTGTGTGTTCTTTAACTTATTTTACGAATTATTTGTTCGTTTGCTTTGAACTTAAAATTCGTTCCATTTCTGCACATTTTTGTGACATTTTATCAGGGCTGTTCAGCAACCATGGTCCCTTATACTTTGTTAGCACCAAGAGGTTCTTTTCGAAGATGGGCTTAGCTTGCCATATAGCAAAAATCCACAGTGAGGTATCATTTCTTGATTTCCAACCTAAAAATCAAGAAAGTTTTTTGTTTTGTGTTTAGTTATGATCTTGTTTCTCATCCCACCAAGATTCTTCAATTTTCAAACGAAAAAATTGTATCTAACTTTGTGACGGGGAGCTCATGATTCTGGTCTGTTTTTGTGAACAAGGCATCAGTGGAGTACAATTCGTGGGTGTTGAAGCAATATATCGAAGAGCTGTTTTGGGGGTCGGGTAAACGTGTGATGTTGCTAGGTCACAGCAAGGGAGGGGTGGATGCTGCTGCTGCATTATCGCTTTATTGGTGTGATTTGAAAGACAAAGTTGCCGGATTGGCGCTGGTGCAGAGCCCTTACGGTGGAACCCCAATTGCCTCCGATATCATGCGTGAAGGCCAGATTGCTGATAAAGAAACTAGGAGGATCATGGAGCTCTTGGTCTGCAGGATCATCAAGGTAAACTGATTTTTGGCTTCTTAGAGTCAAATCTGTTGGGTTTCAGGTTTGAAATCGATAACAATGGTTGTAAGAGGGAAAAAGAATCGTTAGCGATATTAGTCTATGAACACGGTATTACATTAAGGGTCTGTTTGGTACACGGACTCAACGGGCGAGAGTGAAGTAGGCAGATGAAGTAATTCCGAAAGGTTTGGTTTTAAGTTGATATGGAGTCGTTTAGTAATTCCGGAAGGTTTGGTGGGACGAAATAAATGCATATTGTCTCACTCGCGTCCTGTCATGTCCCAGTCTAATTCGCATCACATGTGGGACAACAAGTTTTCATATTGTCCTGTCTCATCCTTTTCCGCGTACTAAAATGCTCCCCGAGAGAACATTTTGAGCTAAAAGAAACTCAAAAGGTTAATATTAATTTTTGGTTTGGAAAGTACTATTCGTTCGACAAACTTTGCAAATCAAGAATTGGTTTACGACTTGTTCGTTTTTATGAAGGGTGATATAAGATCTCTCGAGGATCTCACATACGAGAAGAGAAAGCAGTTCCTTAGCCAACACAAGCTGCCGAAAGGAATTCCACTTGTCTCGTTTCGTTCGGAAGCAAGTATCGGACCTGGGGTGATATCAGTGATGTCCCACATAGCACAAGTTGAGCTACCCAAGCTTCCTTTCCTGGGACTCGGGTCCAACGAGTCCGAGTACGAGGCAGGCCCCATTGCGACTCGTAAAGTGCCTGTGGTGGTCCCCGTCTCTGCTGCAATGGCTGTGTCGGCCCTCCACCTGCAACTTAGGTATGGGGAGAAGAGCGATGGGTTGGTAACGTGTCGGGATGCGGAGGTCCCGGGCTCGGTTGTGGTTCGGCCGAACCAAAAGCTCGATCATGCTTGGATGGTTTATTCTTCGTGGAATAAGAATCAAACAGGGGCCGATGCTTGTGAGATGTGCGAGGCTTTGCTAACGATGCTAGTCGAGCTCGGAAAGGCCAAGAACTCCGGGAATTAGTTTCTTGGGTTCGATCATTATAAGTTTTTACGGTGTTTTTATTTATTCATATATTTTATTGAAAAACGTATACGTAAAATGTTGTATGTTTCAAAAGAAATGTAACATTTTTTTATGCGAGTGCAATCCCATTCTAATAATCCGTACAAACTACAGAAAAAAAGTCCTCCTTTTAACTTTTAAATTTAGAGTAAATTACGAATTTGGTCCCTGTGTTGAAAGTAACTCCTTTTGTTTTTACAGTTTTAAAATTATAAGATGATTATTGTGGTTTGTAAAACCGTATGCATTTAATCCCTCCCTATAACAATCGTTAAAAATATTCTGTTAAATGAGAAACATTTTCGTCACTTTATCCATTTTTTTATCTTTTATTCAATCAAAAACTGCATAAACCGAAGTTATATCAGTTTTGACCGGGTAAAAGACAAAAAACTTGTTATTTAAAGGTGGAGATTGGTTAACAAAGTTAATACTTTATTTAGTGGTTTACAAAAGAAGACACACACACACACACACGTGCGTGCGCGCGCACACACACACACACACACACACATATATATATATATATATATGTATGTTTGTGTGTGTACACGTATGTATAGAGAAAGATTCAAACGAGAACACCTTTATTTTAAGCAAGAACATTCTTTTACTGTAGTAAGTCAATGTGATACTATAGTACATCACATATGATAAACATATGATACCACATCAAAGGCGCGGACGACCTTTGGCGCGACCTAGACTGGGGCCTAAGTCACTCGCACACTACTATGATGCATCACATGTATTATCACATGTGATAAGAATGTTCTTGATATGGTACTATAATCCATCAGACATGATACTAAATTAGAGACACATGCGACCTTCGATGCGACCTAGATTGCAGGCCATGTTTTCTGAACACCATCAGGTCCCTCATGTATATTATCACATGTAATAATGGTGTTCTCGCATTTTCGTAAAAAAAACCCATAATTATTTGTTAACCAACTAACTAGTAGTAACTTTACAAACTCATCTAAGTCGTTCATATTTTTGTATCAACGATTATAGTTAAATTGGAGGACATAAACCGATGAAAAAAGAAAGAAATTAAATGGAGGCAATTCTAGAATAAATTGTGTTTTATTTTTGGAGGATAATCATCAATAATTTATCCCTAAAATCACTAAATTCCCCTCAAATCCTCCCATTACCTTTTCATACCGACCACTAAATACTTCCTTCTATACAGGATATCTGGAACAATTTCAATACATCGCTCTACATGATAATACACTTTCTTGCCTCACCCATTCGAGGACTATGGAGATATCACCAGAAGCTGAGACTGGTTTAGATCGATAAATATTCTCCTTTCTCTCTTTTATATGCCATTGTTGGTTGTTAACCTTCAAAGAATACTGTTAACCGACCCCAAAATCACCGGAAGACCACAACTGATTATTGCCTTAATCCCGCAACAGTTTCTACCTCAGATTGGGTTACAAGTTGGTGCTTCTTTCTCAAATTACCATTATCCTACACCTTCCGATTCTGATACTGAGAACTTCTTGTCAAGCGTAGAAACTTCAAGCGTGGACGATAAGTGAATCTGAGAATACAAATCTAGATTAAGGTTTTGTGGTCTCAACCATCGGATTTGTAAACAATACAACTAGCATCTGACTCAACACTTAGAAAGAAATTCTTATCATTTTTCTTTTAACATTTTTATTCGATAACAACATCATTGGATATGACTCAAAAGGATTAACATCCGAACCTTTGAAGTTTGTTAGGCTCAAAGCTTCGAATCTTATCTATAACCCAGATAAAATGTGCGATAAATTTTTTGATTTGATTAGGCTCCATCTGAATTGAAGAATACGATTGACTTACCATTCTAGTCATTCCTCCTTGATTTTTTGGAACCCACATTTTATCCTAAGTTAGATTAAGAATATGTTGCTCTTACTTCATTATTATTCTATAGCGGAAATATGATATATAGCTTATATTTCGGAATAGAAGAAAAAGTCTTCATGAAATCGAAGACTAGTTGAAGTGAGGTTAAGATCATAACCAAACAAGATTGATTTGTCATCTAGTTGAAAGAAGATCAATACAAGATAAAGTCTAATAGTAATCTGACAAATACTACTACTGACAAGCCAGATTTTGGAGTGCAAACTTGTCCAACAAGTTTGACTCACCAACTCTTTCAACACGCACCCTGGTATAGAAACATGCTCAACATATCAACTGAAGTAAGTTCTAAAACATTATTTAATTAGTGTCATACTTCCTTTACTGTTCCCTCGACAAAAGGACGAGTTAGGATAACAAGTGTTTACAACAACCACAAAAGCTAAAATAAAGAGTACAAACATGCATGGACTAGCACATCAAATGAAGACACACATTAAAGTTGAATAGTAGCATTTAATGCAATGATGGATATAAAAGAGCACCCTTGTAGGGGTGTTATTCGGGTGGTTAAATCGGTTTTTAAATTGTTTAAAACTAGCTGATAATCAAACCAAATAAGGTTCAGTTTAATCGGTTTTGGGTTATTCAGTTTTCCAGTTTTTCGGTTCGGTAACTGGTTAAACCGAATAAGAACTCATACTTTTTATTGGACACTTGCTTAAATAATTTCCTAAATTCAATGGCCTTTGCTTCTAACATATAATTGTATCATACATTTATACTGAACAATTGACTTGTATTAAATAAGAAAACATGTAAGGGGTTGTTTACTAATCTCTTACCACCTCTTACCCGTTAAGAGATGCTTACCCAGGTAAGAGGTAAAAGTGTTTACCTAACAGCAAAATCAACAATCAGATTTTCGGTCTCTGACCGTCCTCTTACTGGAGTCAGCAAAAAAAATGAATCTTACCATGGTAAGAGGTATGTATTCATAATCTACCCTCTTCATCTAAAACCCTAAATATATGCTTCTTTTTTCATACAAACAGGTGGGTCATGTCCGATTCAAGGTGGGGAAGCATCGCCATGTCCGGTTCAAGGTGTTGGAGGGCGACGGGAGGGCGGCGACGGGAGGGCGGCGACGGAAGGGAGGCGACGGGGCGGCGACAAAAGGGCGGCGACGGGGGCGGCGACGGCGGCCGGTCTGGAGGTGGGAGAGAAAATAAGGGAACTAGGGTTTGAGGTAGGGAGAAATAAGGTTTTGAGTTTTTTGAGTGGAAATACATATAAATCAATATAATTGGGCTTAAATGTATCTGGGTTGATATGGGCTTATGTTTTTTTTTAATCTTATTCAAATATAATTGGGCTCAATAATTTTCAATTAATATTTATTCCAAAAAAAGGATATAATGGTCTTTTTTTTTACTCAATCAGCACTTAACACAAAATATTTGGTAAACAAGAAAATACAATTTGCACTTAATTCAGTCAGACCTCTTATCACAGTCAGACCTCTTACCCGAATCAGTACTTAACCAAAAAATTTGGTAAACGGCCCCTAAAAAAAGATATCTACCAAAAGACATTATTTTCTTCTTGTCACAACTTGCATCAATTAAAAACATAAATATTAAAAAACAATATTCATCAACAAGCGAAAAACATTATATAACAAATAAAATATGTAAAATAATAATCTATACTATATTATAAAGCATTTGATAAATATTTTTAAAAATTATTTTTTATGTACGAAATACTGTATATTAATGTATATTACTCAAAATTCAAGATTATAAGTAAATTATGCGTAAATACAACTTATTAAAGATTTATGGAATTCGTGTAACTAACTACAGATAAAACATAATCTAGAGGATAAACATTTCATTTTATATATAAAAAAATGTAAATATAATTAGGATAATCATTGAGTTCTAACAAAATATTTAATTATTATCTATATAAAAAATATATTATTAACCCAAAAATAAAAAAATGAATTAAAGAAATACACAAAAAAGGAGAAATTTTAAATAATTAGTTTGGTACTAATATCAATATTTTTTCAATTCTTTATGGTATTTTCATAATTATATTTTATTCAAAAATAAAAACATTATCGTTTTCTCAAAATCACATAAAAACGTATTATAACATCGACGGAAACAAAAAAAAAACGAAACATTAAATTCGAGATGTATCTCGCTGCATTGTACGAGTATCTTTCTAGTAATATAATATGTATTTGGTTTTAATATAAGTAGAATGTGTTATTTGGTTAATTCAGTTTAACTGAATTAGATAAAAGTTAACCGAAAACCGAATTGAATAAGGACCCACTCGCACCACTTATTTGCACCTCCCACTCAACTTCGCCACTAATCTACATCGACACAAGCACTAAAACTGTAATTTACTCTTTAGTTTAAGTTCAAGTATCATTTTGGTTGTAAATTATGTGAAGAGTTAATTACAATTTTGGTCCATATGGTTATCATTTCTCGTTCCTAAATTGAAATAATCATAATTTTAACTGTGGTTTCCATTTTGTTCTGACTAATGCCCGCAAAAAATGTTTGTTAACTAGCAAATGACATTTGACTTAACGGTATCGTAGTCTCTAGTCTTTTAGGAGTGAGAAGTTCAAATATCACAAAAAATAAGGAGGGTGTATACGTTTATTTGTTGCATTTACTGTAAATACATATTATATACTTAAAAAAGGTTTGTTAACCGACGGATTTTTCATATATTCCTTAATTTTCTGAAAATTAAACCAATATAATATTATTTTATTGTATTATATCATTATCATCATCATTTTCCGACACCCCCACAATGACCCCTTACCTTTCTTCTCCATTGCAATTAACATCAACCCACTGTCGCTTTACCCACCCTTATAATTACCATTTGATGTATTTCTATAAAAGAAAGGATGGCGTCCATTAGCATGTTAAATATAAGTTTTTGAACAAGGCCTCTGAAATTTAATTTGGGGCCCAAATTTAAATGTGTTTAGGATCTTTTGATCGACTTATGTAAAATTATAGCCGAAATTATTTAGGTTCAAACAATTACTTATTTGGTTTTAGGTTTAAATCAATAATGGTTTAGGTTTAGTTTCAGATTGTTAATCGTGTTAGGTTTAACACATTTTTATT